ATAATGACAAAGGTATGACATAGGTATTACAAGGAGAAGGTGACTTTTCAGGACATTACCCCATGTCCCCACTTTTCAAAACGCTTATAAATCACACAGAATGGAGTGTATTGAAAATCTGAAATAGCACAAAGTTTCCTGTGAGGGGTAGGTTTAGGAGTAGGGTTGGTGTAGGGCAAAAGAATATACGGTCTGTACAGTAGAAAAACCATTATGCCTATGGGATGTCCCCACTGTTCACAAAAACAAACCTGTGTGTGTGTGTGTGTGTCTGTGAGTGTGTTGTGTGTGTGTGTGTGTGTGTGTGTGTGTGTGTGTCTGTGAATTGTCTGAGTGTGTGTGTGTGTGTGAGTGTACCTGTTTTTCTATTCTGGTGGGTTCTTAAAACTGAATACACACAGACTCATGGGGACTCGTGTCACGGTGGGGACCTAAATTGAGGTCCCCACGGGTAAACAAGCTAATAAATCACACAGAATTAAGTTTTTTGAAAATCTAAAAATGCACAAAGTTTCCTGTAAGGGGTAGGTTTAGGGGTAGGGTTGGTGTAGGGCAATAGAATATACGGTCTGTACAGTATAAAAACCATTACGCCTATGGAGAGTCCCCACAAGGATAGCAAAACAGACGTGTGTGTGTGTGTGTGTGCGCGCGTGTGGTTGGGTGTGAACTGGCATGAGAATGACATCATTGTGTTTTGATACAGTGACTGGTCTTATATTAAGATCTGGACCGAACACAAGCAGTTCCTCTCACGCCCTTCAAGAGTAACGCAGAATATCATAGCGATTCTCTATCCTGTGTGTTACATTTTTTCTCCTGTTTTGTGCAATAGACTGTGTGACTCAGGGTGCCTGTGTTTTTTTTTGGAGATCATTCCCACAGCTCTGTGCTGTTACATTAAACAGTTAGCCGAGCCTTTACAACAAAAGCGCATTTCTGTGTGTTTTTGAAGTCTGTATATAGAGTGAGAGAGAAGAGAATTTAAGAAAAGCAAAACTGGAGTATTGAATGATGGTACTCTGAGGCAAATTCAAGGGACAAGAATCATCAATTTTGTGTATGTTTACGCACGCGTTTTTTATGAATGATTGGAATTTATTAATACACACACATTTAACTATCAAATCTGAGGTTTATAAGTGTTTGTGAATCCAGAGGAGAGTTTTCGGGAAGGTCCTTTTCATGTGAAAATTACACTGAATATAGTCACATACTTATAAACGTGCCATGATTTTGACATTATGGTCGTATGATAATATACCACACTGTTAAATTACAGACGAGTTTAGCATCACAGTCCAGATACACTCAGAAGCAAGATACATATGTCCTGTTCCAATCAGAAAACATTATTGTTTTTGATTTGTTCAGTCTCTTTAGTATTATCTAACACAGATCACTAAAAATAACGAAGCATTTCTAAGACAATGTTATGGTTTCGTTTATTGAAGGTTAAACTGTTATTGCAGCCATTTGTGTTATCGTGACAAACGTTTCTTTATGGTGACCTTTAAAATGGGTTCCAACAATACAGCAGAATTGCCCTAATGACTCTTGAAATTGGGCTTGATGCAGTGCAAACACATTTAAAAAGACACGAATGCTTATAATAGCCAACAGTTCACCCTCCAGTCATACTGTATTTGGAGCACTGAAAACAGATTAATCCTGCGTATGTGTGAAATCTTGCATGCTGCAATTAAAAAAAAAAAAATGTTGGTCCTAAATTTAAACAGGATTGGATGAAAATCAACTGTTAATTATCCATGACTGATCAATTGATGAATCCCTAGCTGATGCATGGATTTGTCCTTGAAATTCATTTTAAAGTAGAAATATGCAATGTGGTCTCAATTAATGCGAGCTTATAAAAGATGCATTCGTAATAATTCTAAAATAATAAGCAAAATCCTTTTTAAATTAGATTTAGATACCATGCAACATTGTAGGACATGTCGAATTCCCAGGAGTATGTAATTAAATCAACATTAATAGTTTAATTAACTAATTTTTCATTAAATGTTGCGGTGTTACAATTACAATTATTGATCCATGCACATCATTATATATATATATATATATATATAGAAAAGACTGGGCAAAGGGTTTTCTAATAACCAAACAAGTCTCAATCCCTTCTTCTGCAGCATCCTGCCATATATCATAATAGGGAAGAAAAGACTTGAACTACTATTATTTGTTTTATGACCTTTGACCTGTGATCTCTGCAGGCATTGTATCATGGGAAGTTCATTGACACGGGCTTCACTCTGCCCTTCTACAAGCGCATGCTTAACAAGAAACCCACCCTGAAAGACCTGGAGTCCATCGACCCTGAGTTTTACAACTCCATCATGTGGGTCAAGTGAGTATCAAGACTGCAGACTGCTCTCGCTGACATCAGTCAAAACAGCTCTGTGACAAACACGACATTAATGCTGATGTGCATTCACAGGGAGAATGATTTGGAAGAGTGCGGCGTGGAGCTGTACTTCGCTCAGGACATGGAGATTTTGGGCAAGGTGACGACACACCAGCTGAAGAACGATGGAGAAAATGAACTCGTCACGCAGGACAACAAGGAGGAGTACATTAGGTACAGCTGCCCCATGTTTAGATGATACTAGTATCACTGATCAGTTAATCAGACGCCTTTTATCCAATGAGGTGTTTTTTATGTTAGAATACTTATCTAATTCCAGTTTAATATGCAACTCCAGAATAAGAGTCTGTTTGAGAAACCTGTTTGAAAATAGTCATTATTTTTGCAACTCGGTCTGGTGCTGCTAGTGATGCAGAAACTCCACACGTTTAACCACCTTTGTTCACCTTTTTTTGTGTCTTTTAAAGGGGTCATGAACTGCCTCTGTGCCTCTTACGTCCCCTTATAATGTTATCAAGATTTTTACATAAAAAAAACATCATAATTTAGAAGTAATAGGCTATTTTCTGTCCTGTTTTTAACCCCCCTCATCAGAACGCTCTGTTTGGATAGACGTGGAGGATTGTAGACTCGCAAGTAAACACCCACTGATATGATTGGCTAATAGTTGTGTATGTTTGACAGCGTACATCCTTTACAGATGTCAAAAATGCACATCAAACGATCTGTTTAACAGACAAAGAAATAGTGATCATGTAATGAAAACAGTTACTCACACGTGTTGCGACATTACTGTCGGATCCGATGTAGTCGCACAGCATCGTCTTTTAGTTTCAATCTTTCTGAAAGTACCACGTCGAATTGTGCCTTGTTTGTAAACAAATCTGTGGTAAAATGAAGTGAACAAAGGACCGAGTTGTTACTGTATGGTAGGCGGGGCTAAACAGGCAGTGATGTAGAACCATTTTCTTTTTCTTTTGACAGTATTAGACGCGAAATCAATCAGACGCGAAAGACAATTTATAAGTTGAGTTAAGTCTTAAACTTAAGTCTAGTAATCAGGCGCTGTTTGAAAGTGTGCATGCGCTTCATGTGTACAGGCAGTGATGTAGAATCAGAAGCACGTCAGAACAGCACGTGAATTAAATGTTTAACCGGCAAGGCTTTAAAGCAGATGCAAATAATGTACTTTTGTGATTGCGCACAAGTGGTGTGTCCCTTAAGTGTAACTCTACTGCTGAGTTAACACTGATGTGAATGTATGTCGCATTGTACAGAATATTGATTCGGCGGCGCCAGAACTTCAGCTGATAGAATGTGCGCTGTAGGATACTACGATATTTCTTCAAAGGCAGATCGTGGAGACATTTTAATCGTCCACCATCAAAAATTGTCATATCGTACACCCCTAAACCAAGTATAATCAATCTCACACACACAAACAAGCACAACGAAATCACTTCACACTATTAAGCGGCTGTTTTATGAACATGCAAAACTGTATCGCATTCGCACGCGTGCTACAGTGCTAAATTTATTCATCGCACCAACCAGTTTTTTCAAAGCACGTGTGACATATATGTCGCACTGTACAGCCCTGGGCAGTGATGTAGAATCGGTAGGCGGGGCTAAACAGGCAGTGTTGTAGAATCGGTAGGCGGGGCTAAACAGGCAGTGCTGTAGAAGCAGGTGTTGATCTTCTGTGGAGGCGGTGCTTATCCACACTATTACATCATATAATAGAACATTCCACAAGCTGTCGTTTTGGCAGACTGCCTTAGACTAAAGCCCCGTTCACACCAAGGACGATAACTAAAAAGATAATGATAAAGATATAGTTCTTAAAATCGTTTTCAATATTACAGAATAGCAGAGTCCACACCACAACTATAACGATAAAGGCACAGACAAACAATATCGTTGGAATCACTTTTTAGAACGATTTTTCCCAGCTGATGAATGATAAAAATAATTGACACCCAATCAGAATCAATCCTGCTGTCGCGAGCTCGAGAATTTAAAGCGGCAGACGAGCTTGCGCTTAGAATAAACAGACGATATCGTTTGCTGGTGTGGACGCTAATATCATTATCTTTATAGTTATCGTTCTTGGTGTGAACGGGGCTTAGTTTTGAGTTCTGAGGATGTTTTTATAGTACAATGGCCTCTTATATGTCAAAAGATCAAGGGAATTTTGGTTCTCAAAAATCGTTCTCAATATTAAAGAATAGCAGAGTCCACACCACAACTATAACGATAAAGGCACAGACAAACAATATCGTTGGAATCACTTTTTAGAACGATTTTTCCCAGCTGATGAATGATAAAAATAATTGACACCCAATCAGAATCAATCCTGCTGTCGCGAGCTCGAGAATTTAAAGCGGCAGACGAGCTTGCGCTTAGAATAAACAGACGATATCGTTTGCTGGTGTGGACGCTAATATCATTATCTTTATAGTTATCGTTCTTGGTGTGAACGGGGCTTAGTTTTGAGTTCTGAGGATGTTTTTATAGTACAATGGCCTCTTATATGTCAAAAGATCAAGGGAATTTTGGTTCTCAGTTCATGACCCCTTTAAAATGGATTGTTCCTTTAACAGTGATTTTAAACTCGTTGCGTGTTTTTCCTGCAGTCTGCTCACTGATTGGCGCTTCACACGCGGGGTGGAGGAGCAAACGAAAGCCTTCCTGGATGGGTTCAATGAAGTTGTGCCTCTGGAGTGGTTGCGTTATTTTGATGAGAAAGAGCTGGAGGTGGGTGTTTTAGTATTTTTAGCAAGGACTTGACATAAAGTGTCTTTAAAAACCCCTTGTCTATATAGAGACACAAACGTTGAGGAAACGGATGTGAATAACTCGGGCAGTGTGGTTAAGTTTGGACTTGTTTTAGGCGTACTGATGTTATCTTTATCAGGTTATGAGGTTGATGGTGTGTGATTGTTTCTTGCTCCAGCTCATGTTGTGTGGGATGCAGGAAATCGATCTGAACGACTGGCAGAAGAACACCATCTATCGGCATTATACCAAAAACAGTTATGATCAATAACCTTTTTTAAAAATTATTTTAATGATCCATAAGCAGTTGTGAAAATTATATAAAACAATGTTACCAGTAATTTATATATATATATATTTTATATTATATATATATATATATATATATATATATATATATATATATACTTATATTTATACTGTGTCACCGTTGGAACGCGACTGAAGTACAAAGCCTGTAATTTACATAAAAAATAATATTAGTTTAGCATTCAGATACATCGCAAATATATGCTGAATGAGAGAGGTAGGATACACGAGCACAAAGCTCCATTTCGCAAACAGTTGAGTGCCTTTAAAGTATACTCCTTTGTCAGTGAGAGACGCATTCAGAATCAGCACATGGTCACTGTCTAGTGGGCTTTGTTTTCAAGTGCGCAACTCATGGCATTCGCTCGCTGTTCTTCTGCTGGCGGCCGGTTATCAAACAGCGTTGCATTGCTGCGGGCGCCCCCTACTGGATTGAGGGTGAATTGCCTGTATTCGTTGTAAGGCCTCATGCCTTACAATGAGATGTCCGTACCGTGACGGTTCGGTACAAATACATGTATCGTTACACCCCTAATGTGTATATATATATATATATATATTAGGGGTGTAACAATAGGGGTGTACGTCGGGGTGTATTCATATTGAACCGTTCGGTACGAGGCTTTCAGTTCGGTTTGCATTACAAACCGAATGATTCGATGGACTAATCCTATTACGTTTGGAAAATAAAAGAGATTAAAGTGTGTGAAATATAATGTTCTCAGTGCCACTTCGCTCAACAAGACAGCCTAAATGACGTAACAGGCAGCGCGTTGTCTGCCCCACGTGCTGGGGTGCGAGTCGAAAGACGATTATCTTGTATCGATGATAGCCATAGATATTGTCAAAACCATCAATTATTGGCTCTTAATTATTATATATTAAGAGGATTTCCATTCTTATTTTTATTAGGCCTATTATTATTATGAAGTTACTTTTATTATTAAATTAAGATTACAATTAATTTGCCCCGCAATATTACTGCATAACTGACGTGCTGCGAGGATAACAGAAGATTAGGCTATTAACTCCTCAATTACCATGTTTTAAAAAAAGGTCCTTTAAAACAGGTCTATTATACAATGAATTATAGGCATTTATTAACACTGCAGTCATCAGTAAAAATCGATGAAATAAAAAGCTTTAGCCTGTTTCAAGCACCGACTTTCAAAAACAACCTGTTTAACACGAAATACGTTTCTTCTCATTTTTATGTACGGCCACAAGAGAAATATTAAGGGACTAAATTTAAACCGTTAGCTATATACCGTTATCAGCACATGTTGAAGTAGATTGGTCTCTCGTCGTCTCTGAGAGAATATGCGGCGTCAGATGCAGAAAGCTCCGTCATTCTGTTTTTCCAACATTGCGACGTAAGCAGTATATGTATATATATATATATATTTGTGACCCTGGACCACAAAACCAGTCTTAAGTTGCTGGGGTATATGTGTAGCAATAGCCAAAAATAAATTTTGAATTTCAAAATTATTGATTTTTCTTTTGCCAAAAATCATTAAAGTAAAGATCATGTTCCATTAATATATTTTGTAAATTTCCTACCGTAAATGTTTCAAAACTTAATTTTTGATTAGTAATATGCATTGCTAAGAACTTCATTTGGACAACTTTAAAGATGATTTTCTCAATATTTAGATTTTTTTGCACCCTCAGATTCCAGATTTTCAAATAGTTGTATCTCAGCCAAATATTGTCCTATCCTAACAAACCACACATCATCTGAAAGCTGAATAAATAAGCTTTCCATTGATGTATAAATCTCAATTTCGAAAAAATTGACCCTTATGACTGTGTGTGTGTGACCCTGGACCACAAAACCACACACACACACACACATATATATATATATGACGTTTTATTGGTGACACTGTCCAAACCTTAAACTTTAAAAAAATAATTTTGATTAAGAGTCTGTGAAAGGAGGACAAACTAAATATCATATGAGCTAAATACAATATGGTTTGTAGTAAATGATTAAAAAAAAAATATTAGTTTGATCATTTTCTTTTTCTTACAGTAACTTGGGTAACACTAAATTTGTGTTGAGTCTTCCCACCATGCAGCTTTGAGCTCTTCACATGTGACCTGAGTTCTGTCCTCGCTGTACATATTCAGTGTTTAGAAGTGTAAATGGTTTTAATAGTTCCTCTTTTGATCATCTTGTTGTTTAGGAAGTAACGGGCCACAAAAGTTCTGCATAGACAAAGTGGGGAAGGAAACCTGGCTGCCTAGAAGTCACACCTGGTGAGGCTCTAAACCCGAAAGACAGTGCAAAATAACTCTTTCACAGAAGTGTGTTTGTGCTTATTTGTCCCTCCTGCCTTACAATTTCAGCTTTAATCGACTGGATCTGCCACCCTATAAGAACCAGGAGCAGCTCCGAGAAAAACTTCTGTTCGCTATCGAAGAAACTGAGGGATTCGGACAAGAGTGACGAGACTGATTATATCTCGGCATGGAAGGGACATTAATTTCTTCTGAATAGGCCATTCATGTGGACTGAATGAACAGACTGTTGATTAGACTAGCAGCAGATTTACAATTCAAACACTAGTTCACCTAAAAGTGGAAACTCACCTCATTTATTCAAAACCGATGCGCTGTTATTTTTCTGTGCAACACAAAGGACGAGTTTCGAAAAGAGCTGCATAAAGATTCTTCAGACTTCAACGTTTGTCCTCCACTGAATAAATAATAGCATGCTGGTATGTAATGACATGAGGATGAGCGAACAACAGCTTCATTTTTGGGTTAACTATACTTTTAAACACTGATGGACCAGCAGCAGATAGATGATTTGTTTGAATGTAATATTTGAGTTGGTAAATTCAGGGGATGATGATTTCACCTTACATTTCTATGCAGTGAAAGCAATGCAAATTATGACACAGTTCACAGCATAACCAGATTTGTAAATCAAGTCAAAATTAATTCCCTAAATCAAAATGTAATCAATCCTGATTTTCCAGTGTGAGGTGAAATTCTCAAACTCCCTGCTTATAATGCAGCATCCAATACAGAAACATTACTATACTAATAAAATAAATGGCAGCGAATCTTCAGTTGCAGATGTCATGGGCCGCAGAGCTGTTATATCAGTGTGTGTATATGGACTAGAAGACCACTGAGAGGATAGAGAAAATAATTGTTTTAAAGAGAATGAGCAGACGTGATTTCATTATTTTGTGACATGCCATGCTACACTGTATATAGTTGAAATAAAATCCAGTCATGGACTGTAAACGCATAGTCTGTGGATGATTTTAAATATTAAAAAAAGCTTTAAAATCTTGTGTTCAGTTTGTTTTGTTTTGCTGTCCCTAATACTTCTGTCATTATACCATCTGAACAAGCAACTATTGATTTTTTTACAAGTTTATTTTTAATTATAATGGAAATGAAATGAAATTTGGTGCAGATTTGGAATTATGCATTTCTATGACAACACTATTAACGCAGAAATGAATCAGTGTGATTTGAGTAATAAATAGAGACAAAAAAGTAACAGTTGTTATGCTTATTAATCTATTTAAGTTTACTTGACTTATTTAGCCTTAATTTTATGCATTAAAGAACTGTTAGCTTTTTGTGTGTGTGTGTGTGTGGAATATTTATAGTTTTTGTTTGAAGGATGTGAATGCTTAAGTTGGAATCAAATAAATCCAACATGCTGTGAATGCAGCTTTTGATAGGATTTCTTGATCTCAGAGAAAAATGGTCAGTAGATAAAAAATAACATTAAAATAAATATAAAAAACGTGCATTATACCAATGTTAATTTGAAGGCTGATCAAGGCCTTTATACCACTATATTGTAGACATGTAAATGTTTGAACAAAGCAAGTCTTCAAACTCTATATTTGAACTGTTTTGTTTTTTGGTCAGATGTGCCCTTATTTTCAATTTCAGGTTAAATATTCAACTGTAATTACTGCAAGTGCTTATGATGGAATTCAGGATTTCAGATCATTGATTATGCAGCTCATTTTTCAAGTTATGTTCATCTCTAAATATATATCCGATAATATTGTTCTTTTGTGGAGAAAACTGCCGAAAACTGAGAAAATCTTTTGATCATTCTTAGCTTCACTGTCCGGTCCTGTGGCCCACTTTACATCTGAGATCTGAACATGTATTTGTGAATCAATATGAATGTGAATGTTCACAATGATTCTTTATTCAGTAAACACAACTAGATGGCATCGTGGAAATTCATGAAATGCAGTCAATTTTTAAACTCGACGTTGAACTATATGTATATAGCTCTTTATCTTCAATATGGTTCTTTTACAGAAAGGAGCCTGTGGATATTTTAAAATTCATATGGCATTTATGTAAAGTGTAAAAATCTTTTTAAATGTCTATGTTCACTTGATTAATAGCTCAAATTAGCAAGTTTAAACATTAAAAGTGTTTACAGACAATATAAATATAGCCATATGGAATTATATTGTAAAAAAATAACATGCAGAGCATATCTTTATGCATTTCAAAGAGAAAATTATGTACTTCACAAATCATTTACAATATGATAATAACAACAACAGTGTTTGACGCAAAACTCACCTGAAATTAAAGTAATAGCTAAAAATGTGTATTCAATATATCAATAATAGTTGTGAGAAACAAATTCAGATGTTATTTGTCTGAGAATTCAAATGCTATCCTAAAAAAAGACAACATTTTCGTCACAAAGGCTCTAACAGAGCTGACTAATAACAGAAAGTAAACGTAAAAAATAAAACATAAAATTGCCAAATCAAGTAAGCTATTTCCACTGAATGACCGCCTAATTATTCGCTATTATGAGTTGCTGTTTTATGTACATTTAAAATTGTATTCACAAATGAAACAATACGTTTCAAATGAGCTTTAACCTGTAACGATGCGCCGTGTGTGTGTGTGTGTGTGTGTGTGTGTGTGTGTATAGGGACTCTTATTTTGAAATCGGTAATATTCTTCTGCCAAAGACACGAGAAAGCACATTTATGACCCACTGCAGTGCATTTACATTTCAATCCGTAATCCGAAAGAGCATTTAACCAGGTTATCTAAGTGTGAGTATATTAATAATGCGTCAATAGTAATGTTGTAAAAACACATGGTCTCATCGTAAATGTGTGCTGTTCACGCATAGCTACAGATCATGTGGAGTCCTGATGAAATAACTTAGCCAGCTTGTGTTATAATCACTTCAGTAAACTGCCTAAAAGAGCAAAGCCAGAGGCGGGCAGAGAGTGGACTCTACTGGCTGCTGTGATTCTGCTGACTGAGTTCAGAAACACAGAAATCAACTAACTAACATGATGATATGAAAACTGCAAAATGCCCTTTTAACCATTTGCTCACAAGCAGGTTGCGTCTCTGGGGACAGGCACCAAATGCATCGGCCAGTCCGCCATGAGTCTGAAGGGTAAATAAACACTGTTGCACAAATGCAAACCTAAATGTGCATCCCCATAGGCCTATATTGTGCTGATTTGCAGGTGACATTCTGAATGACAGTCATGCGGCGGTTATTGCTCAGAGGGCACGTGTCAGGTAATTATTTCATCTGACAGTGCTTCATTGCATTAGTCATGCATTCACAAACCAAACCCCAACTGCGTCTGAGATCCTTTGTAGCTTACACACACACTGTAAACATATCTTATGGGCTGAGCGGATCTATGTGTTTACCCATCTATGTTTGTACATGGATTTCACATTGGTCAAGCGGATGTTATGTCCTGTACCTGTCTTCTAGAGGGCTGAACATGTTCAAATGAAGGGGATCTGCTGTGATAAAGCTTTTTACTTATCCAATATTTGCCTTGCTCTGAACATTGTTTTCAGAGCATTTTATTGTTCTTACTCCAATTTAAGATATATCACTAATATATACATATTAAGATATAGCACTTTGCATAGACTGGAAACACTGGAATCTAACAATGCCTTAGAAAAAAACAGTTGATCTTAAAAAAATAAAGCATATACATAAACCCTATCGGATAAGCATGTTATAAACTTCTGAAACATTGGTGTTTCATATTTTAGAGCAGTCACTGCAGTTTATGAAAGAACTAAATTAAATATGTATGTGGGAGTGTTTGTGAAAAAAATCTGATGTAACCCCCTTTGTAATCCTTAACATTTTCATAAGTAACTGTAATTTAATTACACATTTTTTCTTAGTAACTGTAACTGATTACAATTACTTTTATTTTGTAATTAAATTACGTAATTCCGTTACATGTAACTAGTTACTCCCCAACACTGGTTATTACTAAACTATGACGACACTTTAGATTAGATGACAAAAATGAAACCAACATACAGACTGCTTGAGAGAAAATGTGTGTACTCATAGGTAATCAGATATAGAGTCGTTTCCCATGTGAAAACTAGTCCCAGCCTCTCAGTAAACCGATATTTACATGAATCCCTGTCGTGATAATCAGATTCATTGCTCTGTTTGGTTTAGACTACTGAATCGTGGTGTAAAGTGACAGTTTTTTGTTGATTTGGGTTATGTCAAACGGGATGTGTGTTTTATTCTTGTAAAGCAGCATGATTATTGAACAGTAGATCTTTGTTAGTTGGTGACCCGAGGGAACAGTGTTCTTCTGTTCTTGTTTGAAGTGATCCTGCCCAGCGTCCAGCTCTAGTTACACTGCTGACAGACTCACACAAGAGCAAATAACAACGGTCCATCCACAGAGATCCCACAACACAGGCGTCTATATGCACTCCATGCTCAAATAAATCCATCAGTCTTATTAGCAAAGGATTTCTGCATTATTCCAACAATAAGACTTTACTGTGTGACTGATGCCGGGATTTCCAGATGACTTGCAGCATTAGGCCCAAAATAGCAAACGCTTCCACCTCAGTTTTGTGCGTTGTTGTGCTCTGAAAGGGATCATGACATGGATTTTTTTTTTATTACTTTAATATGTTCCTTGAAGTTTACTTATAATGTTAATAACGTTTTTTGCACAAAAATACATATATATATGTGGAAAAATGATTATTTTTAACCCTCATTCTGACCCTCTCTCTAAAACGACCTGTTTTAAGGGACGGGTCCTTTAAGGCTTGACAGTAATCGGCCAGTTATGATTGGCTAAAGTCACTGCATAGGAAACATATTTTCATATTAACGCCCTCTCGCTATTGCATGTGAGTGTTTTGACTACATAATCAAAAAAACTTTGTAATTTCTAGACAAAGCATTATGAAATCATATACTTACGTTTGTGATGCAGCTGCAGTCAGATCTAGTAGCTTCATCTTTCAACAAATGTTTCTTTGTGACTCTCCATGACACTGTGCCTCCTTTACAAAACAAAATGCTCCGATCAATCCTCTGACATGATCTGGGATGCCATTAAAAATAAACTATCCACTTACGCTGGGATCCTTCTGATAACTGTACAAAGACGAGAACGAGCTGTTTAAACCAAATGCGTCAAAGCGAACAATCTTTCACTGCATTTGACGACAGACTCGAGCGCGACTGTCTCAGAAAGCAAAAGCACATCTGTATTCAGTGTAGACAAGATAGCGGCAGTGAATGTCATTTCTATTTGCTTTTGACGCGACGCCACACTCGCATTTAGCATGATCAAGTGTCAGCCGTTAAGCGAGTGAATGCCAGAGGGTGGAGCCTATGGTGAGAAGAAGACTATTCGTCGATGTCTTGCTCTGGAGGCGTGTTTATGCAGATGACTGTGCCCAGGTGATGTCATCTTGCACCTCATAATGAGGATGACGTTTTAACCTATGAAACTTGCAGGATGTTTTAATGGTACAAAGACCTCTAACATGCCAAAAGATCAAGGCAAATTTGATTTCTCATGTCATGACACCTTGAAATGCAAGTCTACATCATTGCAATGGGTGATACGCAGTAGCTAGCATTAACATCGGTTTCTACGGTCCACGATACTTGTGGTTCTCTTTCTAACATTCATTCGGTATCTCACTATGGGATGAGGCATGACCGATTGCGGAAGCACCAATAACACCACGTCTGCCAACCACGGCAGACCAATCGCTGCAGCGATCTGGGAGTCCTGCCTCCCTGTATATAAACCACAACTACCTGCAGTCTCGTCATTCTCGCTCTCTTCCCTGTGGAAGATTTTCGGAAGCTGTCCTCAGCAGACTTTGGGAATTATTGCTCAACAGTTTACAGACGAAGCCGCAAGGTAACATCCCGAACGCAATTTTTCCCTTAAAGTTTCATTGAGTGACCGCACTTGGA